GAGTCTCAGTGCCTGGGTTTTTCAGGATCCATTCCCCCATTCCCTACTAAGCACCAGACAGAAGAGGATCAAAGGCCAGGGGGACTTAGTAAGCGGGACATAGGTATCTTAATTGGGGTTTTAAATAGATATAACTATACTTATACACCTAAGTACCTTAAGTGGGGTTATAAGTACATATAACTAGACTAACTAGACTTACCTTACTTACAACCTTACTTACTAAGTCCCTGAACCTCCAAGTAAGGAGTTTAGGGTGGAGGTTTGGGGTTTAGGGTTTAGGGTTTGGGGTTTGGGGATTTATGCTCAGAGTTTTCTCAAACCACGAAAGCTGAAACCCTGCCCTGCAGCACAGGGCACGGCTCAGATAGTGGCGCAGAGTCAGTTCTGAGTAGGGATACGTGGAGGATCAGGCGACGTAGCAAGTGGGGTTATAGGTACCTGGATACAGCTACAGCTACCTGCCTTATAACCCTACTTACTAAGTCCCCTACACCTCCAAGTAAGGGCAAAAGTTCTACGGTTCCGCAGTACCCCCAGGAATTTTGTAAGAACATATGAATCCCTATAATAATTCTGCGCAGCCTAAAAACTTAGGGCTTAGGAGCTAGACTTCCCCTCGCCGAGCTGCGCATCTTCGCGATGGGATAGCCTGGAATCACAAGTCAGAAAAACTTCTTCGTTGAGCGCGTCGGGTGTGAGTGTAGGGTTTAGGTCAGGGCTGATGGACGATGCAAGGCGAATGTAGCTCCATGCGGGAAGTCTTATGCGTTCGATACGGCATTACATGAGCTTCGTGATAAGTTATTGGACAAGTTTCACCAGAAGGGTTTGCTACACAGCTTGCTCTCTCCTCTCATCGACTCTAAACCCTAAACTCTAAACTCCTCTAAACCCTAAAACCCTAAACTCTAAACTCTAAACCCTAAACTCTAAACTCTGAACCCTAAAACCCTAAACTCCTTACAAAGGAACTGTCGGCCGAGAAGCCCCCGAGCTGGAAAGCACCGAAAGCCATCTCCGAGCCACCCTTCCAGTAGGCCACCTGGTACCTTGAGCTTCTTATTGAGGTTTAGGGCTTAGGCTTTGGGGTTTAGGACTTTGGGTTTAGGCTTTGAGGTTTAGGGCTTAGACTTTGGGGTTTAGGATTTAGGGTTTAGGCTTTGAGGTTTAGGGCTTAGGGGTTGGGGTTTAGGATTTAGGGTTTAGGCTTTGGGGTTTAGGGCTTAGAGCTGAGGATGCTGGATGGAACCCTCAAGGCAGGTTCCTCGTCACGAGGTCTGTACGGGTCACTATAAGATCACAATAGTAGGCTTAGGGTTTAGGGTATAGGGTATAGGGTTTAGTATTCGGGCCCTGCAACCTTCTTCAGGGTTGGGAGTTTGGCGCTTAAGGTTTAGGGTGGAAGCCCTTCATGTTCAGCCTGTTGGGCCCAAAGGCTATACTATGTTGGCTTTTGGGGTTTAGGGTTTAGGGTTTAGGTTTTAGGGTTTAGGGTTTAGGGTTTAGGGTTTAGGGTCTATTTGAGCCTTCGAGAAACCCACGAGAACAGATAAGACCCAAAATGACCCTGAAGCATGCGCCCTAAACACCAAAACCCTAAACCCTCATACACCGCAACCCCGAAACCCCTAAAAAAGCCCTAAACCTCTAAACCCTAAACCCTAAAAACCCTAGACCCCTAAACCCTAAACCCCCAAAACCCCAAAACCCTTAACCCGAAACCCTCAACCCCTAAACCCCTAAACCCTAAACCTCTAACCCCCTACACCCTCAACCCTAAACCCTACACCCTAAACCCCGCCCCTAAACCCTAAACCCCGAGGATGGGTATGAACCCGAT